AAACAGCACAAGCATCTTTTTACTTTTTTACTTTTTAAAATACTGTCATTTTGCTTTTCGACACCTTTAAAGAATTTGCCCAGGAGCTTATCGAGAGTAGCAGCAGATATGCCTATTACTTTAGAATTTCCATCAACCTGCTGTACGCAAAACCCTACAAACTATTTGCACTCGTATTTTGTCTTTTCAAAGTATTCGACGACCTTTCGGCTGCAATGAAATAATCTGGTTTACAACCCGGGTTATGTTCGTCGTAGATGGTCGTATTTCTTTACTTGCCGCTTGTCTTACTCAAAAACTCGAAGAATCCGACTCGAAAGACTGGGGTATCAGCTTCTGACTTTTTGCTCTTTTTCCTCGTTGGCGTACTTTTCCTTAAGTCTGTTCAAAGTTTTCTTGAAGAGATTTTTTGGCGATCAAAACAAACTTTTGAATTTAGCGGGTCGTGCAGTGAAATACGGTGCGCTAAATTGACTAATGATAGCGCACGTTCTACCCGTGAGATGTAACGAGGGGTTTTGATCAGATACATCACTGTTCGCACGCACAACTAGTTTTATTGTTCTATGCCAAAGCGCTTTCTGCTACTAACTGAGAAGCAACGTCGCACAAGTGCACATGTCAACCGGACTGAGGATGAATCACCACGCCCTCACCCAACTAACCACCCTCGTTGGGCTGTCCGCAGCGACTAATTCTATACATTTTCAGAACATTTGACATTTCATACATACCAGCTGTAAGTTTTTCTTGATGTTCATTTGTTAAGTAAGGAATTCCAGGCATGTTATGTTCAAATGAGAAAGACGACGAAAGAATATATACGTACTTTTTATATAATAAAAATTGTCATCGGTCGATCGATTGAAGAAAAGAAGAAGAATAAAATAAATTGATTGAAGCTGTAAAGAAAATATAGTTCTTGTATATGTGTGATTTTACATAGTGGAGCATAGAATTCACAAACTGACGGTATAAAAGTCTGGTAGGGGTTATATAAAACCGCACAATCATAACATATTTACCTGTCCTGTAATAACTGAATAGCGAGTGCTGAAAGAGTCCGATATATAGAGGAAACAAGAAAAAAAAGTGTTTCTGGAACAAAATCTAGTGTTTCCGTCCACTCTAGATCTGAATTCGTTAGCAGAAATAAGACAAAAATATGTTTCCGAAAAGTAACCCAGTATTTCCGTCGACATGCTGTCTGATTACGACTACGGAAACAAGAGAAAAACGTGTTTCCGGAACGTGACCGTACCTTGTATTTCCGTGAACATTTAGGTATAATTACGTCGACGGAAACATAAAAAATTAATATTTCCGCCACGTTACCATGTGTTTCCACACATGTTAACATGAAGTTACACTTGCGGATACATTTGTTTGTTTTCCTTCAGCTGAAACCTGCCGGAAACATGTAAAAAAGTGGTACAGTTCCGCTGTGACCGCAGCAACGGAAACACGAGTAAACGTCACCAAACCGACAGCGGAAACGCGTGTTGAGCATCGGTTTTTTCGCAACGTTTTCACATATTTCTTCCACGTTTCCGTTTACGGATTCTTGATACTTCTTCCTGTGTATATTATTCGCATCTACTTTAGCGGTAGCGAAATATCAACTTGCTTGATAAATAATAAAACATATAATACGAAAGAAATCAATTTCGAGCAAAGAAAAGCTTCACCGCAGCTAAGAGTTGTCATAGGCGAATAAGGTTGCTTTGCTGTGGGTGAGATAGGTTTTTTCGTCTACCCTAGAGGGATCAATGATTGAGGAATTTTATCTGGTGGTGTGTTGCATGTGGAGGTAGTGTTTAAATGCACCATGATTGATTTGTTTAGGTCCTTGGTCACACCCAGTTCCGAGGGCTGGACAATTAACGCCTTAGGGCCTCGTCTATTGGATGTTGTGAAGTGCTGTAGACAGTTTGGGCATATATTTCTGGTTTGAAATCAACCTTAAGGAGATCAGTTTCATACTCCTCCCCTGAACTTTTTTCGTGTTCTTCGTTATCAGCGATGGAGGAACGGAAAGCTGCCAAAGCTTTGCCTTTTGCCTGCCACTTTA